TAAATGCAAATTAATTTCTCTTTGGCTACATTCCAGCTGCAGTCAACAAAAACTTGATGCCTATATCAGTTATGGAAGGGACTGAAGTACCTTATTGTACCTTCACAGTGAAGGAATTTCTGCCAAGTAACTTCTCATGATACTGGTAGTTTCTGCTGGCACCCTCATTTGCTGCTTATGATGTATGTTAACAAGTTGCATTGCAAAAACTGGCCTCATAAAGGAGTCTGTAGCTGATGCTAACCTGATTTTGTTTGTCAGCCTTCGGCACGTGCTCTGAGTCTGTGTGGGGAGTGTTTGGTCCTGTACAACATTACGGTAATTGAACACACAGAAAAGTGATTGAGAAGGAGGGAAAAGGAATTAATTTTATGCATCTACTGTGGAAATGGCTTTATGGTTCTATTAATCAGCTCTATAAAAATTCTGATTGCTGAGTGTCTTGAACGTATGTGAGCATGAACAAGACTTTCTTGTTTTGCAAAGCCTTGTCAAGTTTTGACTAGTGTGCTTCTGTGGTGGGATTCGTCCTGGTTCTCAGAGTGGCAGATACTCAGAGGAGGAGAGGATTTTCTTCTTCTCTTGTTTTATATCAAGTGACTGCTTGTCAAGACTTTGATAGTTGCTGTTGTTTTTCTGTGGGGAAAAACAACCCATATTAAGTGTATTTTGTTTAGCATGCCCAGGACCTATAATTTCAGAAGTCTTCTCTGCATGGTTTTTCAACTTGAAGAAAAAAATAATTTTTGCTTTTGATCATAAGGAAGCTAGTTCTAGGGGAAGGTCATCAATTCTTCTGCCTTGGAGTAAACAGTGATTGGCGGTAGGCAAAGCAAATTTTTCTGTATTAATTCAGCCATTGCAATCATATGAATGCACTGGAGGAGAAACTGCAATTAAATTTGCTACCAGTCACACCCATTGAGTGTGCTTAATGTTTCATCAAACTTTTTTTTCTGTCAGCTCTGTGATTCCGTGTTCTTCTTTGTTTGAAGGTGTGGCTGAAAAGCATAAAAGACTGTAAAATGCAGTATAGAAATGCTTGTTTGTATTTAAAAATATTTTAACAGGTAAAGGTATGTTGGAAGTTTCCCTCTGTTCCCCCTTGGCAAGTTACTTTTTCAGGCAATATCTAAAGGCAGAAATTTTTTTTTTAAATTTTTTTTTCAGGTGTTGGCTAAGATTTATGTGCAAGAGAATTGAGAGCTGTACTAAAGACTGTTACTATCCATCATTTTTAAAGTGGTGTGAAGAACAAAAACACTGTGTGTGTGGCTAGATTTGCAAAATTTTTAAAGGAGCCAAATTCAAGTGTAGTGCATAATACCAGAGGTGACTATTTTGAGTTAATTCTTCTTTCTCCCCAACCTTCTTGGGTTATCTGTCAGCAGTGAGCAAAGATCTGTTGCTGTCCAACAGGTGTTGACAGGCTTATGTTAATAAATATTTATAGATATTTTCATCAGTAGTTTCAGATGTTCATCCATACCTGAAGGTAAAGCTGTCTTCCACCTTCTATCCCAAGAACATTCTTGCAAATTTTAACAAAGTCTAAGTGGAAAACGGTGAGGTCTGTGATCCCATCCCCTTGCATCTTTTACTTCCTGGTCTATTCTGATTTATGGTGCTTTGTTTCCCCTGTGTAACAAAGGTAGGCCCTTCTCACTCAGCTTTCTCACATCAGTCTTTTCCTCTTTTTTTCCTAGCTTCTGGTGGGACAGTCTGCTTGCATTTGATCAGAGGAAAAAGGAATATGAGGACAGTTTCTTCTCTCTAGTGCTGCAAGGGGGGTTTGAGCTGCACTCAAATCATACTCCACTGAAAGGGTGGTCAGTCCTTGGAGCAGGCTCCCCAGGGAAGCTGTCACACCACCAAGCCTTTCAAGAGCTCAAGAAGTGTCTGTATGACACTCTTAGTCACATGGTTTTGTTTTAGGTAGTCCTGCGAGAAGCAGGGAGTTGGACTTAATGGTCTTTATGGGTCCCTTCCAGCTTGAGCTATTCTGTGATTCTGTGATACATGCAGACTGAATAAAACCCATAACTTGTCATGCCGTAGAATCTCAAGAATACCTGCTGGAAACAGTGTCGCCAGAGGTAGGCAGAGCTCTAGAAAGATTATCTGATACTGGGCAGTTAATCAGGGACTTCAATGAAGCACTGTCTGGTATTTAGGGTTACAAATTTTCCCTGCACTGAGAGATGGTTGGAGAAACAGTTTCCAGTGCTGTGGGTTGTCGCAGAGGCAAGGAAAGGTGTAGACCTTTGCATCTTCCCCACTCGTTACCCTGGCTCAGAAGTCTCTCTCCGTCAGTACTTCGGAGTTAGTCTTGAACAGTGTGAGTGAAGTCAAGCCTCTGACAGTTACAGGAGTCTTTTTAAGGCTTCACCTAGAACCAAAAGAAACTGTTGAAGAAGTTAAGTCTAGAGAAGCAGAACTTCGCTGATTTTCAGGGAGTTGTTCTCTGTTGCACGGGCAAGTTTTATGAGCTTTATTGTCTGCTGAAGTAACTTGTCCTGAATTTCTAAGTGAAATCTGTGTTTGTTCTATGAATATTGAAAAGAAGTTGCCAGGTGGAAAAATGAATTGCCTTTCTCTTTGCATAGATTTCTCCCTTTTCCTCAAAAAAATACATGCTTAAAGGTTCACGAAGCCAGTCCTCCATTGTTAGTTTTATCATCTTTCAACCATATGGTATGTTTTCTTATGTATGCCAAAGAAATGGTTCCATATCCAGGTGTCGTTCAACGTATCCTCTTGGCTGGCTCTCTTTAAGCCTGGTAGAGCACCTCTGAAAATCAAATATTTCTCCTTCTATACACATTTATCCAAGAGCTTTAATGAGATCTTGCCAAAACCTTTAAAACGGGGAACAATCTAAATTATACGTTGTATGGAACCTCCAAGCCAGGGAAGTGAATAATTGCTAGAGACTACTTCTGTGACATAGCTTGGTTGTTTTAGTTTAACAGAAGTATAATAGGAGCTTTGCATTAAGGACCAAGTCTATACTTAGCTCATTGTAATGCTCTTAGCATGCCTAAATGAGGCTGGTTTATTTTGGTACCTAAAAGTCTTCATTTAAAGTTTCTTCCAAAATCCTTGTCTCAACTATAAAGGTTTTTGTCACGTTAAGTCATTTATATGACTGACAAATAAAATTCAGCATAGAATTGCAATCCCAGAGAAATGGTTTTAAAGGAAATAAATCTGAGCAGGAAGATTTAGTGTAGGCATGGTAATGCCTTTCCTGCAGTTACTGGGAGCCAGGGCTTGACTGCAGACTGGAATCCTGGTGTTGTGGCTGTAAACACTGATTAGCAAGATTGAGTTCTTCCCAGGTGTTGAAATTACATGTGCTATTGCAATGTTAGGAGTTGTTAAAATCCATCATAAAAGGGGACTTTATGAATAGAAGTGTTTCAGAGAGATTTGTGCCAATCATGTGCCTTTTAACTCAGTCTGGTGCTTGAATGGCCCTTATTGAAAGTCAGCTTTCTTAAAAAAAAAAAAAAAAAAAAGAACCTGAGCAGTAGCCATAGATACTTCAGTTTAAATACTATTTCCTGCAAACATGGGTCCTTAGTTTTCTTTCTCCTAAGAAGCCATTAAGAAGTACCTCTCAAAACCGTTGACTGAATGTGTTCTGAAGCTCCTTGATTCATGCAATATATGGATGACTGTTACACCTTTGTTTAATATGTAAGAAAAAAAAAATATCATTTTACAAAAACATATTTGAGAAACCTTTTGCATTGCTGGAATGGTTGCTGTTGTGAAAATAAAACCAGAGACAGCTTAATTTTGGCCCTATAATTGGCTACATCTGTTTTTGGCTATTACACTCTTTTCCCAAATGATTTATTTGCAGTCTTCAGATTTTTCAGTAGTTTAGAAAATGCCTTAATCTTTTCCAAAATTTTGGTAAACCTGCCTTACTTTCTTCTGAACCTTTGGTCTCAGAGCACCAGAAGTACAGAAGCTGTAGCAGTGAATGAGGCTTGTTGTTCATCAGGTAGGATGCATCAGTTTCTTGGGTTATTTTTACTGTTTAAAAGTTTGAAGCTGTTGCTACTTTAGAATTTGGAGCCGGCTTCTTCATATAGTAGTGTGAAAAAGTTCCAGTTGATTATAGTTTAATATTTTATTCCTACAAATGGTCAGATGTGTTGTCAGATCAACGTTTGTGTATTCCTGAGGTATTTTTAGGGTAAAAATATAACACGTGTGTCTGTAGTATTTGCTCATTTTCAGATATCGTAGGCAGGAAAGGAGGAGATTGCACTATTTTTTGATTAGTGATCAAACTGATGGAATTTAATTGTAAAATTATAGACCAGACTGCTTGTCTTGCTAATTTAGTATATTAATGTGAATGATAACTTTTGATGTGCATCATTTGGGGGTGGGTGGCAGGGCTGGGGTGTTTGCTTTTAATTTCTAACTTTCACTGCTATTTTTCCAGAAGTCTACATACTAGCTAACAACACAAGTCAGCCACATTTGTAGTTTTGTGCTACTAGATATCCAGGTACAGCTCCATGTTAGGGTAGGGACTCTGGCTGGTGTCCTCGTCCTTGGCTACAAATCTGCTCTAAACACTGCTAGGGGATGTAATTATATCATAATTATTTCTCAACTGTGACTTTTATCTAATTATATGCAAGCTTAAAACTATTATTTTGTGAAATATTGTGAAAGCATTCTGCATTTTGCTCTTCCCACCAGCGAGGAAACCAGAACTAGCAGAGATGTTTTCCCTTTGTCTTGTATGCTGTTCTGAGGATGTGTATGGACACATGCTGTATGTATTTCCTCCTATTAAAGATAAAGGAACCCTAGTGACTTTTTGTTATCTCTCTAATGAAGCATGAAGTCTGGCTACCAACAACAATAACAGTAAAGATCGTTGGCAGATAAGGAGTAAGTCTAGGATTTCTTTTCAGTCGCCACTTACACTTCTCATAGGCACTAACTTCTGACTGATACTTTTTTTCTAGGCAAATCTTGCTCAGCTACTGAGTGAGGCTCAAGATCGAAATAAACATCTTGGAGAAGAGATTAGAGAGCTTCAGCAGAGACTAGGAGAAGTACAAGGGGACAATAAGGTATTATAAACCTTTCTTTTTTATCAGTAGGTGGTGTGGAACATGTAAACTGATGGATTTTTGCGTTTACTTCTTAGGAGAGCAAATAAAACAGTGGGTTACAGAACTTGTAGAATACTTTGATTACAATAAATGATCAAAACAGAAGAACAAGAAAAGCTTGTACAGGATACCAGTAAATGCAGCTTATTACATATTTGCTGCTTTTGTTCTGCTGTCCTTAACTATGTATTTTGCAGCTAGCCTTGCTTTAATGATGTCAGACTTTCTCCCCTTCTCTCCTTCTCCATGTATTTTATTGCTGGTATTTCCTCTCACAAATGAGTACTGATAAGCATGTCTTCTTCATCAGGGAGTAATTTTCAATTTTTTTTTTTTTTGCATTAGAAATGCGAAATTTTAGTAGATGTTAAAACCACCAGGGGAGGCATAATTTTTCCCTTCAAAAATACGGAGCAGTTGATCATCACAAATTTATATAGTGAGCTTTGTATTAAGCCCTCATCCTATTACCCTTACATAACCAATTTACTTTGTTGCTAAATTTAGCAAGTTATATGGAACATTGCTCAAAATCTGCCATTTGGTATTAATCAAACTCCTGTTGTCTCTGTTAATTGAAATATTTAAACTCAAGCCAAATGTGTGTAACATTCACAGCTGGAGCTGTATGTAAAAGTACATTCAGAGATCAAACTAGTGAGGGGTTGAATTTGAGAGCTGAGGTGGTTAACGAAGTAAAAAATGAAATAATGAATGATAACTTCCCTCCCTTAACTACAGTATTAAAATTATGGGAGTTAAAACCGTGAATTAAAATAATGCGGCTTTTAATTATTTGGGTGTTTTTTTCCTTTATTTTATTTTAAACATAAGTATATTGTGATAATGCAGTTTTATTCATTATCACAAAGAACTTGCTTGAAGGTGTGCAGGGAGCTGAGAGAAGGTCAAGTGAGACCTGAATTTGTAGTATGCATAGCATTTAGTGTCACTTGCTCAAGTCGTCAAAGACCAGCTTTCCCAGTTGTTTTTTTTTTTTTTATTTGCATGTTATTGTTTGAAATATATTACAGTGTAGAAGACAATGCCTTGCAGTTCTCCAGTACCAATATTATGCCATACAGTCTTTCCTGAGGCAGTCCTGAACAGACAAGAGGGTTTTGTAAGTACAAACAGAACACAAAGGTAGTAAAACTACAACATATTTAAGTATCAAGGTTGTGCACCTATTCTAATTCCTTATAAAAATATGATCTTGGTAACATGGAGACGACGGGTTTTGTGATTGAACTGGCCTGTTTAGATTTGCCTTCGCAGATTAACTTGGTATGAGCTGGTCATCTCTGTCACACCTGTATTCTCTGCGTGAATTTAAATTCACAATCTTCATAATGAAAGGAAGAATAGAAAAAGAGTTATTCTGCCCACCATCCCTCTCTCCAAAAGGTGCAAAATAGTGCATCACTAAGTGAAGAGGGGGAGGAAAGAACTGCATCAGACAGGGATTAATTTAGACTACGATTTTCATTTTTGGAACACATTCTTCACTTTCCTAGTAAATGAGAAATAGAGCTTATTTTAGAGTCAGGTTGCTGTTTTTTGAAGTGCCTAAAAAAGCATTGCCATGTCTCTGAGGGATTTAACACTCTGCTCTTCTGTCAGATTTCGCTCCCTCCTAGCTTTGGTGATAAAATTCTAGGCTTGCTCCGAAGCTGTTCTGTTCATCAGCTCTCCTGTACTGGCAGCTGGGTTGATTCAGGCACTGGAGTCCAGATAATGCATGGTATATACAAAAACAAAGAACCATAATAATTTGCTTGTTCTTACATTTTTTTTTTTTCCCTGCTTTCTTTTCTCTGCTTTTTCCAAAGTGAGGGAGGGCATCCTGCCCAGCTGGTCTACGTCAACCTTACTTCTGGCAAGAGCTGAACAAACAGCTGCTTTTGCAGCAAGTGAAGCTGCTTATGGATGAACAATTCTGCCTCTGTCTGAGCAGGGGTGACTCATGCAGGCTTTGTCACTGAGTGGCAAGAGCTTTGTAGGACTAAAAAGAAAAAAACTCTTTAAATATCACACATAAGCTCTATTGATAAAGAATTGTTTTGATAGCTTGACATGTTTTTCACTGCTTTAATGTTTGCTACTAGTAAGATACAGTCACTTGAATTAGTAAAAGAGCCTTAAACTGGTGATTTTTGCTTGTTGTTGAAATTGTGTTAAGTATATCGTCAGTTAGGCAATAAAAAATTACTTGCATTTGGTTTAACTGGACTAATTTTTTCCTGTAATTTCAACTGGAATTCTGTGGGCACAAATAAAACTTCTTCAGGCAGTGTCTAGAAGGATTTGTTGCTGCAGTGTGAGAAACACAGCAACAGTTCGACTGCAGTGCTCCAGCAACAGATATCTAAGAGTATTTATTTTTATGATTGATCACAATCTCTTATCTGTTCTGACACATGAAAACTATTCTGTGATAGTTATTTGTAAATCTTTTTATATTCTAACGTTCTGGCAGCAATGCTGGGAGAACAATTACTGAAACTTAGAAGAGGATAGTTAGGAAGTGTAATTCTCCATTGTAAAAGGGTGAAAATGGAAAGCAAAAGAAAAACTGGAGGCTTCTGGAAGACTAGCTGACTCAGTTGCCTTCGCTTGAATTCCTACCCACGCAAAGAAACGGTTTAGCAGGCTGTGGAGGGCAGAGCGAAGCGAGAGGGAGCTGGGTGGGAGACAATGGCGGCAGAGTTACTGGCAGTTCGCTGTTGCGCGGCAGATGATGGGTCATGCAGCAGCCTTGCAGGGTGTTAAACGTGGTGTGCATGCTGTGGCAGAACTGGGGCCTGAGGTGGCAGGTTTGCATAGTTCCGGGCCGCTCTTCAAGATTTTGTAGGCAATGTGGTGAGAACAGTTGCTGTCAGTGACTGTGGCTAAACGTGGCTTCTGCCTACCACGAGGAATTTGTGTGCTTGTTTTGCTTTTCTTTCAGCATGTTTTGTCAATGGTCGGGAGTGTGCAACTTTGGCACAGGTATTATCTGTAGGCTCCTAGCCTGCACAGCAGCTATCACAGTAAAACCTGTTTGGGGCCGCTGCAGAGTTGCTACTTCATAAATAATTATTTTAGTTGACATTGGTTAAGAAAAAGCTGTGATACTAAAATAATAAAGACTAGTGGCTTGTGGCACTGAATTGTTTTTGCTGATGATCTCTGGGTTCTTGACAAACAGGAGCTATCTCTGGTAAGGTGCCATTAATTTAAATCCTCTCTGCCGTGGCTGCTGCTCACAGAATCTGGAGGGGTGCTGTTAACTTACTCTCTGGCCGCAAAATGAAGTTGAGCAGTCCTTTCCTCGGTGACTTCTGCATGACAGAAATAAAAATACAGCAGCCAGAGGGCAGGTGTATAAAGTTTATCACAAAGCACTAATATAGGAAACAAACCCTTAACCCCCTGGCATAACACTTGGTGTCCCTCTGGGTCACAGCATTTTCAGTGAAGAATTTTATAGCAGGTGGTGCTGCCTCATGAGAAATTCGCAATGCAGAATTAAAGGACTTGGCCTGTTCTGCCCTGTCAACTCTCTGATTGGCTTACTGTCTGGAAGGAGCACTCTGTCATTTTATGGATCAGTATTTTATTTTATTTTATATGTGTTTATAATGCTGCTTTTACTGTCTGAATTTGGATTTCTGAAGCATTCTATTTGTAACACTTGTACTTTTTTTTTTTTCACCTCAAAATTAATAGTAAATAAAGAGTTCTTCTTTCATTGGTAGGCTGTTTGACCTTGCAGGTAATCATTGCCTGCAGCTGTCGTTCCATCTTGTGTCTGAGCCCTCCCGGGCTGGAGGAGGCTGGCCGTGGGGCAGGGGTCGCGGCGCTGAGCCGGCTCCCAGCGCGGTGCTGGGCGTGGTGCAGGAGTTCTGCTCCGCCGGGGCGCTGAAGGCGCCGCTGAAGCGGGATTCCCCTTCCCCTTCCCGGTTTTCCTCAGCAAGACTGAGTCCTCAAAATGTTACTACCTGTGTTTCTCACTGCCTTTCTCACTAGCAAGAGGTTCTAGAAATTAAGTTAATCGAGGTGAATTGAATCACCACACCTTTCATTCATCAGCCTTTCAGCACTTAAAAAAATCCAGTCCCATAGCTATGAAGCCATTCCAGGATTTATTTGCTAGTGGCCTTTTGGACTTACTTCTTTTGATAAAGAAATTAATAGGAATTAGATCTCCTAGGATCCATTCAGCCTTACTAACTGTGCCGTGGTTTGTACTTTCCCTGTGGGGACAGGGAAATGTGGTTTGCCAAAACCGGTTGCTTTTGGGGGCACAGGTTCCCTGAGCAAGTGAACTGTTTATCAGAACAAGTTGTATGAGCTTTAGTGACTTGCACTGAACCCGAGATGAAATAAGTAGGGAGGATGATTTTGGTAGTCTGTCTTGCATCAGCAGGATTTTAATTGGCACATTGCAGCTCTGGTGACTGGCATCCCATAAATACCAAAGATAGATTTTAATGTACAATCTTCTACTTCAGAAGATTGATTTTTTTTTTTCTAACTCTGCAATATAATGATGTACATTAATTCCTTGGTGCAGGCAGAGATACGGGGCAAGTCAGGCTGATTATTGTGGTGGCTTTCTCTAGTCTCTGTGGAGCTCCTACAAATGAGGCCATGGGGAGGCAACACCTCTGCCTAGTTGTACTCAGTATGAACAAGGGTAAATGTTGAATCCTTTACAAGGCTGTTATTTTAAGACTCCATGATGCTTGAAAAGTAGTTGCTTTTTGCTTTGGATTTGGAGTATAACAGCATATTAATTCAAGCTACACTGTTTTCAGCACTCACAAAGCTCATGAGTTCATTAGATGTTCAAGCATTTTGGCCAAGTCTTTTTGTTGTTGCCCCATTTTTTTCTTTTAACATGAATTATTTTTGTGAGTAGATGGAAAAAATATTGCACAAGTGAATGTATTAGCAGATGTTAATGCAAATTCTGCACTAATGTAGCACAGTGGGATTGTAAGTGGTATCAGTGAATGGAGCTGGGCAAGCCACTTCATGCCTTCGTATTCTTAAGTAGGAGGAGTTCTCTGCTGCAGAGAATTTTAAGATTTACTTATGAAAATGGCTCTCTGAGAATTTTCTAGTTTTAGTCTGACCAGAATTAGTTCCTGTCACTCCTAAAGAACATTGACCACAGATCTATGCTCTTTCATCGTTTGTATGCTCTGATGACTATTGTTGCAGGGTCTAATTCAGCTCCTGTTGATGCTTGGACTGGAACTTCCACTGAGAACAGAATCGAGCTGTCAGCCTCCAAAATTCCCTCTGGTTTAAATAATACCAGCTGTTTGGCCTGAAATCTATGACAGCTTTACTCTTTCTAATGCAGATGTACTCTGATGCTACAGCCTGTGCTCTCTTGCTTACAGAATCTGTTTTTGTAATCACAGCTCCTTCGAATGACAATAGCAAAGCAAAGACTTGGAGATGATGAAGTTGGAGCTCGCCACTTTGCAGCACATGAGCGGGAGGACCTTGTTCAACAGCTGGAGAAGGCTCGAGAACAAGTAATAACTCAATAGGCATATACTGTCGTATTTTACAGAGCTAGTGCAGTTGCAAGTAAATGACTGCTTCTGTTATGTTTGGAGGGCTGGTAGCTCTTTAGCATTGCAAATGGCGGTGAAGGTGTTGGGATTTTTAATTAAATAGTTTTTATTGAGCACTAACTTAAGCATGCATAGGTGGTTTGACCCAGGTTCCTAATGTCAGAAATTCCTTCTCTAGATCATTGATTCTTCTCTTTTTATAATGTGCAGCTACAACTTAGGAGAATTTAATGTTGTCAGGGAATATCAGTGAGGCAGACTCCTTAGTGAAAGCTGTTACAAGTATTCAACACAACATGCGGTGGCTGATGCGGCTCCTGAAGATACTCTCTGAATCAAGTTTTCCATAGAAGTGTTGTTAGTCTCCTCTTCCTCCTGCCTCTTAGCAATTTCTTCCCCTCTTTTGAAAAATTCTTTCATCAGATCTCTTTCTCCTGCCTGCAGTTGATACTAATACTATGTACTGTACAGCATGTGATTCATCAGACCCTTTCCCTAATACCAGTACCTCACTTTCCAGACATTTTGGGGGGGTTCTGTTGTTCCCACAGTCATTTCTACTGATGTCAGTTCCAGCATGAATGATCCAGGAGGAGGTGCACATTTCTTGGTTTCCAGTCTTCACTCAAGTGCAGTGCTACTTCAGCTTACCAGAAGGACTGTTCACTGCACTTGGTCTTCTTCCAATGTGATTATCTCTGGTATCTCTGTTACTAAGCTCACATTGTCTCTGTTCACAATCTTCTGTTGCCCTTCCTGGAATATCAGTGTTTTCTGAAGTGCCAGTGGAGGCTTCTCAACTCATTGCAGACTTTTCTCACACTCTCCATTTCCTCACCTTGGAATTTTGAAGTTCTTTCATATTTGACTTCTTCACCCTATTCCTGAATAGTAAAGCTGACTCGGTCAACCCATGCTGGCTTATTTTGTACTTTTTTCAGTTCTTCTTCCCATTCTGTGGAACTTCATTGCTGAAAGTCCCATAATTAGTATACATTCCCCCTTACAGACTTTTTATTCATCCTCCAAATTTGCCAAATTGGCAAAACTTACTGAGTTAGTTCCTCGAGTCCTTGAAACTATATGCTAAAACCAGCTTGCTATGTTTGTAGCAGAATTATAGCGTGAATTAAGGTTTCATTTGCCATTGTTAACATTTTAGTTGTTTTCTAGAGATTTTGTAAAACAAGTCTAACTGGTAATGTTACTTAACTCTGAATTAATGATATAACACCAAATACAGGAAAAGTACTGGGGCTTATAAGCGTTGCAAAGACTTTTGACTGTCCAAAATCAATCCTGTTCAAACATGCAGTGCTTGTTGCTGTTTTCAGTTAATCTGTTGCTTAAACTTCACAGTAGTCATACAGCTCTCCTTTCTTCTCAGATTGAGACTTTGAGATACGACCTTCAGGCTGCACTGGATGAGTTACAGGATGTGAAAGAGGAACGTTCCTTTTACCAAGATAAGTCTGACAGACTAAACCAAGAGCTTAATCACATCTTAGGAGGGCATGAAAACCGTATCATTGATGTAGATGCTCTGTGTATGGAGAACAAGTGAGTGCCTTGCCAAACCTTACTGTTTCTCTAGAACAAGCAGTATATTGCTTTAACAGGGGCATCAGGAAGTCAGTCACCAAAAAAAAAAAAAAAAAAAAAAAAAAAAAAAACAAAACAAAAAAAAAAATCCAAGAATAAAAGTTAAGAGATTTTAGTAATATGTTTTGTCAGATTTGTTTGTGCTGTAGCTAACCACCAAGTACTGTTGAGAAAGTTAGGCTGCAGGAAATTACCAGTGTTTTATTTGGCTACAGAGATGTCAGCAGTGTTCCCAAATAGAGCTAAACAAGGAAAAGGGAGAGAAGTGCAGACCTTTTTGTTCCCATCACTGTATGGCACCAAAAGCAAGAATATTAAAAATCATTGTCTTCAGAAGCTCATAGTGAGCTGTAAAGGGCTCATCTTGGATTGGAAACAGGGACTTTGAGTACCCTGAGTTAACAGTTTCAGACATAATTCTCACCACAGGGGGAGGTTGTCAACATGGAGTGATTTGCCAACAAAAGTTGCTGGTGAAATCACCCATGTAGATATTCTTTCCACTTCCTTGGGAAAAGTGTGTTTTATGGTCTCTGCTAAGGATGACAGAGCGGAGTTGCTGACAGAGCCATAGCAGGTACCTCCCTTAATGTCAACAATTACCTTAAAGTGAAATAGATCTCAGAAGACACTTTCCATTTACAGAGACTTGTGCTTCAAGTCAGAAAGTGTAATACCAAAGGCATTACTTCCTCCCAGCAACTCCAGGGTTTTTTTTTCTGGTTTGCATGGTCTACAGAGTTCTGTATCAGTTTAAGCCCTCTGCTTCCTGACAGTGGTATGATTTTATTCTGTAAAATAGTTAAATTGCCACAAACTCTAATACAGCTGCAGTTGCACTACTTGAAAGAGGATCTTTTATAAACCTTTTATACATGAAAAAGATACTTTTTCTGTGTGGAAATCGCCATCCAGTCCAAGTGCATAAACTCTGTTAGGAAGAACTGTAGTGTTTCGACTAATGGTATACAATTTTTCAACTATACTGTTAAATTTTCTACTTTGTGACTGCTTTGTAATGAGAAAGTGCCATGTAAGTGATGGATATTGCAATGCAAAAGTTCTGCATAGTTGAGTCTTGTGTTGACATATATACAAATCTTCATGTGTCCATCTTTGTAGACCTTCAAGTACAGAGGACACGAGTAAATGCTTCCTGACTATTTCCTCTGCACATAAATACATCCTGTTAGCTTCCCTCCCCAAAAACCTGGGGACTGATATAAAATGGTTGTGCAGCATGCTTGACAAATCTGACAGAAGGGCAGCCTCCCTTTCTGATGCAATTTGTTTCCCTACTTAAAGTTTTATGGGGTCAAGAGCAGTAAGATTTTGTTATTTTATCCCTCACAGAACTTCAGAGGGAAAAGAACACTCAGTAGTTCAAAGAGAGGACGTGCCAGATAGTATAGAGGAGTGCTTGAAGCAGTACTTGAAGGTAGCATGTAGTAAACCTTACATTTCTTTTTCAGGTATCTTCAAGAGAGATTAAAACAACTTCAAGAGGAAGTCAACCTTCTTAAATCTAATATTACTAAATATAAGGTAAGATCCTCTCAGTGTTTTTCGTTGTTCACGGAGGTTTTTGTTCATTCTCGTTTTCATATGCATTTAAAGAACAAAATTGTGTCTTCAAAGAGAAATTCACCATTAACATTCTGGCATGGTCAGTCTTCCTTGTACGTTAGCTGATGTAGTACAAAGCAATACCCATTAAAAGTATTTTGAAAAATGAATTCAATACCTTTTTCAAGTTCTGTGGTGGAACCGTCCTCCTTCTTGGGGGGTGATCAGCCCTTGAGCCTGCTGGTAGGTGAGAAGAAGCAGGTCACACAGTCTGTGGTGAATGACTGCAGCTGTGTGGCCATGACAAGCAGGTCTCGTCTCCCTGTGCCCTGATGGCCACACTAGTTCTTCATGTGTCTTAGCGATTAGTAAGTGTTCATTGTCCTTCCATACCTGGGTTAAGATACATACACCATTTTGCATGAAACCTTCAGGACTGAATCCTGAGGGCAGAATATTCTTTCTTTTTCCTGAAGTCAGGCTTTCTGTTTTCTTCTGCATGTGATTCTCGCATGTGGGAAGAGAGAGCTGCCTGTCAGGGCATGGGGAGAGTTATCTTAGGACTGTCAATAAGCCTTCTTACATTTAGATGACTGTGAAGCAGTTGCAGCACTAACTGCTTTTTGTACATGAGCAAAGCTCCTCGAAGTACCAAGTTCATTTCAGTGTCCAATTACAGTTATGTCTTGGGTCCCTCAGAGTGTGAGTTAGTTTATCAGTGAGAACGGAGCATCTGGGTGGTCTGGTGGGTTTCACAGAACTGTAGTTGCTTTGGAAGAGCTGGACTTCTGCACATCAGTTCTGCTGCTAATTCTGAAAATCAGTATTTACCACTAAAAGGGCTTCTAGAAACTGATAGAGTAGTTTAAGCTTTCCCTTTGAAGCCTATCCAAAGAAATGCCGGGAAAAGTCTTGATTTTTTTTTTTTTCCCCAACTGCTGTTCCCTACAGGACACTGCAGTATTTTCATGGACATTCAGCAGATTATTAAAAAATGGACAAGTCTTCAAAATACCTTGGGGGAAGTGGGTGGGAGAGACTACAATAAAGTGATTGCAGTGAGACAGAAGGAGTTTTTGTAACATTGCAAAGACTATTTTGGCTGGAGATGATAGTCCAGGAGAGTCACACTCCCATAAGCTAATATGGGTGTAAGCTCTAGGCTCTGCAGAATTGTTCTGAGACCAAAGTCTAACATTCTAGATTGTTTACTCCTAATGGAAGGATTTGTTTGCTACTGTTTTTCTAAATAAAGTATTTTTTGTTTCTTTAGAATGCACTAGAGAGACGAAAAAATTCCAAGTCTCATAGCAGATCCGGTAGCAGTGCTCTGACTGGAGTCCTGTCTGCAAAACAAGGTATTGCATAAATGCAGCATGGTGTTGTGTATCTCACTGAATTCCTTCCATCTTACCTGTTAATTTCAGTACCCTTCCTGCACCAGCCAACTGAAAATCTTACTTCTCTTTCCTGTGTATTATAATGTGCTAGTTTATGTCCTTTCTTCAGTTGACTTGACAATATAAAATTTGCGTCTTGAATGCTGCTTCTCCTTTTGCTACTCTTTTGCTATTCAGTTTCTCCCATCAGCTTTACCAGTTCTTTTTTTTTTAATCTCTAAACCCCTCTGCAACTTTGACCCTGACAAATCATTTCTTTATTCATCTCCTTGCTCTGATAACAATGGCAATCACAATTCATATTCCTATGAAAAATAGACTGGGTGGTAGAGGAGGGGCCCTGTTTTCTGCTACTGTTCTTGGGAGCTTTTACATTCAAGTGTTTTGCAAGAAATCCTTTTGTCCCATGTTTCTTCATGGGCAGCAAAATGGAGTAATCTCTTTTTCCCCTTCAAAGAAAATATCAAGATTAGTAAAGAGAAGGGAAGAGAAAATTCGTTGAGCCATAGAGTATACCTGACACTTTACAGTTTTGGTGTTGATATATTCATACACACACACCCCCCAAGATAAGTAACGTTTGTCATGGCAAATTGAAACTCACTTTTCTCTTTGTGACTTCTCTTCTGTCCTCTTCTCCATGTACTTGCATACAGACCCAGATGTGTGGCTATATATATATATATCTAAAGAGGCAGGGCTAGATTCTAGTTACAGAAGTTAATGATACTAGTGAACTTCCTGATGTGGTTGGGAGGTACAGGCTGCAGAGGGAAAGTTCGTGGGCAACTCTATTTTCGTATCAGTCTTAAATAACCTAATGGATATAGTAATTCTGAAAAGTAATATAAAAGCTTCCTTGTAGGCTTGTGGTTTAAAGTAAGTGGGAGAGAAATAACCTATTTTTACAATCTGTAGGCCTGTAGAAGAATTAGTTTTTTCCTTCTGAACATAAATAATTTTCCAAAAAGCAGAAGTTTACATAAGATGTGTCTGCCTATACTTGTTCTGGCAATTGGTGTGCAATAACAACCAGCTTAGAAAGCGACCTTCTTCATGCCAGCTAGAAAATTTCTGATCTTTTGGCCTTGTTAATTGAAGGGAAAATATATATGTGTTAATTTAAGTAATGAGAATCGTTCTTTAATGCTAAGTAATGTTTGTCATGTCTCTGTGCATGAGAAGCCAAAACTCATTTATGTTTTTAACATTATAGTCCAAGAGTTGTTGTCAGAGGATCATGGATGTAGCCTGCCAGCCACACCACAGTCCATTTCAGATCTCAAATCACTGGCTACTGCGTTGCTGGAAACTATCCATGAGAAAAACATGGTCATACAACACCAAAGGCAAACCAACAAGTAGGTAACATGGCTCCTAAGTAAACAGAATTTACCAAGCTATGCAAAAGTCATAGTTTTAAGGAATTTTCAAGGAAATAGGAAGGAATGTACATTTTAACAGAGAGATAATTCATAGTCATTGTTAACTGGTAGGTTCTTTAGTTTTTAAGATATGTGTTCAGAGAAAAGTTGCATTTTCAAAATAAAGTCTGGGCTTGACAGGGACTTGTCTGCCCCTGCTAGGCAAAGACTATTTTATGGCTCGGGTTTAAGAAAAACTGTAATAACATAGGGGACACTTCTAGCAGGTAGTCTTTAGGGAGGGATAAAGAAGAGCTCCTGGGAGGAAGGACACCCTTGAGCTGGAGGAGAAGGTAGGTGATATTTGATTGTTAATGTAGGAATTTGCTAATGAACACTGGTGGGAATAGTAAATGTTGCACCTAGGAAGGGATCTGGAAAGGTTTATTGTAATATTTATCACAGGCCAGCAGCGTATGTGTCATACAAATGATAGCTGTTGCTTCTATAGTAACTTGGCCAAAAGTTGTAGGAGATAAACATAGTTGGATTGCTACTATGTGATTTTTTTTTTAAACCTGAACTGAACTTTCAAGGAGAATTTCTTTATTCTTAGCTGTTCTACTCGTCAGTAGAATTCTTTGTGTCTTGCACAGCTCCTGTCATGGCAGAATATAATATTTTTTTACACATTTTTCTGGCATTCTGATGTTATTGTCAGTGTTCCTTGATTCTGTGCTCAGTTTTGCATCGGGGTGTTGTGGTTTTTTTGGGTTTTTTTTTTGACACTGAGTCACTACTAGTAATCAGAGGTTATTCAGGCTTCTCAAAACCACATCAGGACCAGATGCCAGAAACAGGCAGACATCTTTCATGAAAGGAAGGAGCAGTTCTGAAGTAAACTATTGTACTAGAATAGATTATTCATTTTGAAAATTGATAACACTGACACTAGGCAGACTCTGTTGCATAATTCTCAGTGATGTGGCAACAGGAGTGGAGGAGCAGTTTATAGCCATTCTTGAGAAACCAAATGCCTAATCAGCTAAAGGGAGACTAAAGCAGTGAAAATGTAGCCCGGATCTAATGATGGCGGCTCTGTCAGTTCATCTCTGTAAGTGTGTCATGTAATGCAAGAAAAGTTTCTGCACTGAGCAGTGCTAGTGAAGGGCTAACCTCTGCTTAGTCCCTTCTTACTGCTAATGTAACATCAGGAGGAAAACATCTAGAGAACAACTCTTGTTATTCCATGTATAACCAATCTTTGCCTTTTACATCCTGACACTGTACCATTGCCTGTTGTTGTAGTTTGAATACTCTTGCGTACCAGTAAGCAAATTTTTTCCTTTATTTTGTATCTTTCTTTGATCACATGCAGACTTTTGCTCTTAAATGTATCATTGTGGTGATGGCTTTACTTTCTTCTGATACCATTGTCTTGCTGGCTATGAGTTTTCTTGAGATAAGCCTTCACAAGGAGATTTCAGTTCATCTGCATGCCAAATTGGTCATACGTAGCCACAGGAGTAGAGCTTGAATGTGTGAACAAACTAGTGTTCTATGCCCAGAGAAGATCAGAAGATCAGGTCTTGGAGGGAGGTCACAGCTACGTCTCTTGGTCAGGAGTGTGTCCAGAGCTGTAGTGTTGTATTCCGTTCAGGATGCTTCAGGGGAAAAAAAAAAAGAAAGCTAAATCCTGGGGAGTTTGAGTGGAGTGCCTCAGCAACGCTCCTGTGTGGGTGGAGTGCTCATTCTTTTTGTAACCTTTGGCTTTAGTCGGTGTAATGCAGCTAGCTTTTAAGGAGCTAGGAGGAATGGGAACTACTTCAAGTAGAAACACCTAAGACACAAAAGAGTTGAAGTGAACAAGGGAAATGCAGGTAGGACTTCAGGGACATCCTTTATTTGAGGTGCATTAGCTTGTTGGGGTCACTTACTTGCCATGTAAAAAGAAGCAAAGACTGTTGACTTCTGAAAATGGGGAAGACACTGCCCACTTTTTGGCAAAGGTTAGAGGAGAGAGTGAGGGCAGCACACAAGTGAAACGGACAGGTCCACTAACTGGTACTAGTAGAAGATGCATTCTTTCATTGAAGACATTTCTCCATTCAAGGTAGGGAGTTGAGAAGGATGTGGGGCTAGAGAGAATTGTAATGACAAAAAAATTTGTGTAAATGAGAAGGCAAAAGTCTTCTCACTCACCCCTCTGTCCTGCTTGCTTGCCTTTCCCTGTGCAAAGAGCATGTCATGAGGCCACAGTTATGTTTTGAGATTGTTGTGTGAAGAAAGTGAGTTTTACTGGGTAAAGAACGTGAGATTTTGGGGTGGTTGCCTCATTCAGAGAAACAGTTCTGATTTTGCTATTTGAAAGATGATTGACCTATTTGTGATTCTGTTCTCAGTAAATGATGCTGTTCAGATTAGGTGAACTTATTTTCCTCCAAACAGTTAACCTGCTCTAAAGTCAAAATCTCTTTGTGGCTTGCAGTTTGAGATACGACTATCTAAGTTTACAATAGCAGAATGGTAGTTTTGCTTTCTGATTAACTGAAGCAATAACAAGACAGTGGATTTTTTCATGTAGATTAAAATTTGAATGTGCTGTTGAAGTTGACTTTCTGTTGTTATGCTGTTGTTAAAAACATCCGTTGCCACTTTCTCTTGGAACAGACACACTGTTATTATTGCTGCTTTTCTAAATATGTGGCATGATAAAAGCAGCTGTGGGAGTATGTGCATAGAAACAAGTAGGCTAAATCCAGCCTTCAATTTTTAGCCCCACTTAAAAAAAAAAAAAAAAAAAAGTTGTTGTTTGGGAGGAAAACAAAATTCCCTAGGTGACTGGTAGCTACTACTGCTGAGTTTAAGTAATGTCCTGTGTTTTTCCTCTCCTCACAAGCATATTAGCTTAATTTGAAAAGGCAGTTGTAAATGAATTCTGTATGCAGTAATGTGTTGCAAGATTAAATAGTTACATAAATGCAAAAATAAACAGTCCTAACCCTGCCTAGCAAGTCAATAAAAATCTTTTTTTTTTTCTTCTGCCAGCAATAAACCATTTATTAGATGTTCTTTTTAATGCAATTTGTTCCTGAAATTGCCAGTATCCATGCAAGCCAGATCAGTGTAGAAGCTGCTCTGCTGCTTAGACATGTTGCACTAATTTTCACATTTCCAACTTGGGCAAGCTTGGCCATGACCAAGTTTATAAAAAGGATTGTGTCAGTCTGAGTAAATGTTTAATGTGATGTGCAAAACTAGATATGTGACCGTGACAGACCCAATTTACACATATTTGGGTGCTTGCATCTGTATGAGGGTCATATGTCTTCTGCAGCAAGAGCTAAATTGAACATGAGGTGAACAGAGCTGGCTAACAGCAGAGCTCCCTTCAGATTATGGCCATGTATGTTGGGAAGCATGGGAGAGCCAGGAGAGAGCTTCTAAATTCAAGTGGGAGCATTGCTGCTGTTATGTGAACAACACATTTCTGTAAAACCTTATCCTGGAGGAAGGTTTAGATTGACTCTCGTGTTGCATTAGACACATGATTGAGGACAATAGAAATAGCTGCCAGCACCTTTGTCCTTAACGTGATCCTTCTCTGTTAGTCAAAAGGATCTGGTCCATTATGGCTAGAGATAAAAAGAAAAATAGATTAGGAAATTTGATGCTACCAACCCCTGTAGTCCCTTTAAAAATACCTACAGTTCTAGGCCAGCTCAGTCTTCCCACGGCACATATGGAGGTAGCGAATTATCTGGAGGTCACAGGGGAGAGGAGGGAATGGGATCAACCATGCTGTGTTCAGGATTGCTTTCACATCTATTTTTTAAAATACCTTTCTATAAGAACTTGCAGCTTTATGTGGGGTACATTTCTCTCATACTTGTCTTCAGATAATGTGGTTTGAAACAAACTAGAATCCTACTCCTCACGGAATATATTTTTCTCTCTTCTTGAATGAAAGGAGCAGGGTTAAGTATTGTCCTCGCTCTTTGCCAACCGCTGCTCAGAGCCACAGAATGATCCTTCTGTGTGAGAACCTGCACCAAAAGTTAAAAATAGCTCAGCGTGCCTTCTGAGGATCCAGAAGGAATTATCAGGCTGTATTTTCTTCAAAACCTTTAGAAATAGTGTGGTACAGCTGATAAGTTAATTAAAGAATTTAAGAGAAGCAAGAGAAGAATGACTTTGCTATTGTTGTCTGAATAACTAGAGCAGTAGCAATAACTGAACCTGATGCAGAGCAGTGAGTTTCCTTCTGTGATACAGCTATCCAACAGGGAGGGCAGTATCTTTCCCCCCTTTTCTGCCCCAATAAGTGAACTACTTATGAAAATAATAAGGATTTTTTCTTTTCCTGGCAGAAGTGCTAAATTTATGACCCGTTTGTGGTGACAATCATCAGCTGAACCAACATTGCTTTGTCAGCTCCCTGGCTGAGCTAATGGGATGCAGAAGAAGTCTTGCATCATCTCTCTCAGTTCCTGCCCCTCAAGGCCAGGGGAACTCCACGTCCTTCAGCTGACCCCTGGTGTGGCCTTAGGCAGGGAGATGGGAGTAGGCTCCCTGTACAGGAGGTAGAGCTTCTCAGAAGTTGTTCTGTGCCTTTCCTCGTGACCTGTTGCTGGATGTTGCCCCATACACTGGGGTATGGAAGTAGAGTTGTTAGGGTTGAATCTCTCATACCAGACAGAAGCATTCTGAAAGCAAAATCTAGACTCGAACAGTTTTGATTGCCGTTGGAGAAGACAGCAACAGATCCATCATAACCTTGGTAATCTATTTGATTACTGAGTTTCAATGGGTAAAATAAACATAACTGCTCCCAAATGTCTCTGCTTGTAAATGTGAGAGACTGTTTGCTTCTTAGCTGACATACACCCCTGTACCTCTCAGTGCTTTCTTTGGTATGTATTTATCTTTCCCTTTTACATTCTCTCTCTCATCTTGATATTTTTATAATCTTTAAAATACATAGAGGCTTTTATTGTGTCATGGCAAAGCCCTCACAGCCAAGTTTTCAAAACCACTTTGTCCTTTTTAATCAATTTTTCTAGCCTCTTTGATATTTGCTGGGTTTGCTATCTTCATGTCCTTCCCGGATTCTGCCATCTTGTCAGTAATGACATTCCCAGTATGCTCAAATGTCTGCAGCATAAAACCTTCACTGGAGAGCACGCCCTGCAGTATTACACAGCTCTGGTGAGCACAGGAAGATACTGTTGCCTTGCTGTGCTGTGATATGCTGCTTCTCAGCCTTTGGTTCAAATTTAACTGACTTATCCTGTTGCTGTAATTTGATGAGTAAAACTTGCTGTCCATTATCTCTGCTGTCATGTTTCGAATTGCTGCCTCATCTGGGTTTCTCCCTGCATTGAGTATTGTTTGGGATTTATTTAAAGACTTCTGACTCTAGGAGACTTGCTGTGCCTGTGAGAAAAACACTTTCAAAAATTCATTGGAAAAAAGACCTTTCTTTGCAAGATAGAAATCTCTTATTTGATCTGGAGAGAGAATTAAGACTAAAAGTTAAATCCTGCAGGAGAGCTAACTGCAAATAGTATTTGTGTAGGAATCAGATACAAAGGAAAAGATGACCCAAGAAATGCAGTGAAAACTAAGAGTGGGTTATAAAGGCATTAAAGAACTAGAAGCTCTTTAGTAGAGTAGAAAACAGAATTCAGCACTAAAAGAAAGGATGTAGTGGAAAAAATATTCCTTGCCGTTTTAAGCAATCTTCATGATAGAGAAACCCCTGTGAATAAAGGACTAGGCTAAGCTTGTGGTTTAGAACTTCAAAATCAATCTAGATGTTGTCTTCAGTTTTCCATATTTTGTCTGTGTAGCTTTTACCTTCTGGTTTCAGCTGTAGAGAAAGTAAAACAACCAGGAAGAGATATTTGCAGACATAGAAAAAGAAATATTGTGAGTTGCTGTTCTTTGTCTTTACCAAAGTGCAAAGGTTGAATGTCCATTACATCCTAGACTTTTTTTTTTTTTTTAGTTAACCATAGGATAGATTAGGCAACTATATTTCATTTTCTTTTAACTCTAGGGGAAGTTGTCCATTGCAATTAGTGAAAAGAGATTACTGTATACAAGTTTACTGCACTAGTTAAGTAACAAGTTAAATATTTGATTGTAGTCATGTAAGAAATTGGGCTTTGGTCACTTTAGTATAACAAGGGATCTCATCTCAGCTGACTGTCCCTGGCTTTTGTTTATGTTTTCTTTTTCCAAAGAATTCTAGGTAACCGAGTGGCAGAACTAGAAAAGAAATTAAGAACTTTGGAAATTGCTGGCTTGTGGAGTCTTCCAGGTTAGTAAAAATTCAAGAGAACAGTTTGCATTATTTAGTTTTCAAGGGTATATTTGCATTTAAGAAAAGCTTGGCTATAATTTGTTTAATGACTGTTATTTTGCAAATGTGCTGTTCAGCACATTTTCAAAATTAGAAATCTCTAATAAATGTTAAGTTGAAATGAAAAATCACTAGACTCTTTAAAATCTTAAGTCAAATATGTACACTGGAAAAAAAAATGCTTAAAATACTGGGAATAATCAAATTGTCTCCATAGTCTGCTAGCAAAAAAAAAGGGAACTATTTTATTTAAACAGTTGTATAAAATAATATGCAGGATATTGGCCATTATGTTTTTCCATAGATTTTATTTATTAATTTTGTACTTCTTGTAATTACCATGGGTTTTATCTTTGTATTTTTAATGTTTTTCTGTAGGATCATAAGCTCTGATAAATTGGAAGTGTAAACAATCTTAAATTTTCTAGTCCATCTCTCCAGAACAGGCTTATTCCCTGTAGCATCTTAAGTATTGTATTTGGATTTGAATTACTCAAGTAATGGGAGATTAATCTGCTTCCTAATAGACTTCACTGTTAGGAAAATGTGCAATATTTAATTTACATTTACTTCTTGCTTCTCTTCTTCCCATTACACCTAATTGTGTCTTCTTTAACCACTGTAAATTATGCTATTCCATTGTTGGTATCTGCCTCATTAGGCTTTGTTTACGGCTTCCTATCAGTGCCACTGGGGGTGGGGGATGGTGTGGTTTAGACTTCTGGTCTTTGGGCTGTGTGGTTCTTCCACCTCACTTTTACATCTAGAAGGAAACATCTGACAGTGCTGAAGAGAGCTTGTGACAAACCTACACTGTTTGGCCTGATGTGGGCTATTTCCAGGTCAGCTGGCCCGTTTTAGGCATTCTCTATCACCTTTCTGGAACTGTCTCTCTTCTTGACACTTTTTACAACCAAAAACTTGTTTCACAAATTTGTTTCCATGGATTACTCTTCAGTTAGTTAGCTAACATACATAGTACACTTAGAGCATTTGTCCCTGCCCACATTCTCCAAAAGATACAGGTGAAATATTTGTCTAAGACCCTGCTAATGTGGTTTTGTACATGAGTACAAATGTGTATCTTAAGGTACTGTAGGCCCTTTTTTTCAAAAACAGCATTCTGTGAAATTCATACTGTAATAAATGCAGCATTTCTAGTCTTTCCAAAGTGTATTAAAAAAAGTGGAACAGTGGGAACTTCATGCACCATTGTTCATCTATATAGGTAAGACATCAAACTAATGTTTATACAATAACAACTGTCTCTTTCCTTCCTTTCTTTTGCTGCCTGAAGGCCTGAGCTACAATGTCTCAGTGGGATTTGGGAGTAGGTTCTGCTTAACATGTATTTTTAATAACTGATTTTAGCAGTACGTTAAATATTATCACTGCATGTAAATAAATGCAAATGTTATCTTAACATTTTTATATCTGGCAGATTAAGATGTTGAGTCAAGTGAATTATACAAACACAAGAGAAAAAAGAGTCTGCTCTACAAGATATTTTCTTTACATTGAGGAAAATAGTAAGAAAGGGTGATCTTAAATAGTTGTAAAGGAATTTTACAGCAGCTTGCGAGTTGTGTTCAGCCTCAAGGTTTGCTTATTTGCTGCTTGCCTCTAATGAAGAGCGCACTGTAGTTTCCAAGTGCACTCTAGTCCCAAGGTGGTCAGAAAGAGCCTTGCAACACCTGGTGGGTCACCAGTTTTCTTTCAGAGGGTGGAAAGCTTCCGCTCCATAAAACAGCAGCACGTAACAAATAGTGTGGGAACTACCATGGGGGACTCAGCAGCTGAATGCTGGCTCAGGTGAGGGGCAGAACGTGGAGAGCAGCTCATCTAGTAAGTCTTAAATCCAGAGTAAAAAAAAGTTACTTGATTATGAGTTGAACATTTTGTGGTTGGAAAAAATACACAGATGAAAGCTGATTATTCAATCTAGCACTGAAAGAAACACACATTGTAAATTGCAGGGTTTTAATCTGGAGTTAATGTTCTCCCTTAAGCATCATTGTCCATATAGCATTTATAACATCTGCTGTCACCATGATATTAATATATTCCAAATGGTGTTAATAAATTACGTTAATGAACTTTTCTTATTGAAGAAAGAGCTTGACTGCTTCTAACTTTTTGTTAGGTGACTTATTTGTCATCTGCTTTTTGAGCAACGCATAAATGAACGAGGGGGAAGCTAGATCAAGAGGAAGTGCATATCTAATTTTTGAAATGGTGAAATTGGTAGCTTAGTTAATTTTCTGTAGAAATGCTGCCTATCGCAAACTGTAGCTTCCTCTGTTTGGAAAATGGGCTTTAATTAAGCAAACCTCTTGCAAGGTTCATTGCTGAAGAGAAAGCAAGCGTGGGCATAGATTTGCCTTTGATTTTCTTTTTCTGAGTTTACTTTCCTTGAGAAGAAAGCAGAGAATTCACAGAAGCATTTAATTCTTTGCTTTGTCTTAGGTACATTGTGTTTCAAATATGCATGCATAATATGCTAAGTGTATTCAGTAGTAGTACATAATAAACACCACCTTATTCCTCTCACAATCTGATGTCACTAGACATCCAGATAAGTCATTCTCTGTTTTTAAAAAATCTATTCTTTTCTGAAAATTCCAGATTTCCACTGGGGAAAAAAAAAGCCTAAGAAAAGAATTGAGCATGACTCAGCCTTTTTCTGTCTGGGGTGATAAGAAAGTTTCATTGCTGCCTCTTGCTCTGCAGTAATCAGCAGGGAGCAGGGGCGCGGCAGGATTAATGGGCTCGGCAGGCGCCGCGGGTGTCGCCAGGCACAGCGGGGCGGGGAGCAGCAGGGGGGATAGGGGGTACCCAGCCCTGGAGAGTAAAGGGAAGAATTTACTACTACTGAACACTTACCGCTTTGCCTGTTTGGAGGTCTGTATACTTCTCACTCCAGCCCTTGAAAAATTCATTAGAGGAACACGAGGCTATGTAAGTTATGAAATGGAGCTTACATGGCAGCTAATTGAAATTCTCTGTGTGTTACCCAACTTCAGATGATAATTCACTGAATATGGTAGAGCAGCACCCCCGTGGCCCTCCTTCACGAATGGATGTGAGTCACTGCTCAGAAATAAATACACATCGGACTTTTTGGGCCACATCTGTTGCTTAGATGTGTGAATACTGAGCCGAGCTTTACTTTCTGCAACCAAGTTGGTTTTTAGAGAAAAATGTGAAAGCATTTACTGTGTAAATGCTGGCTGGAAGTCAAGAATTTTCTTTTTTGAAGCTTGTCTAGCAGTCTTCAGGGACATTAAATCAGGCTTTACTTTTTTTATTCCAAAGCTTTCTACTTGTCTGTTAAGTTCTCCCCCCCCCTGTTTTTTAATTCATCAGCTTTATGAATTTTACTTCCTCTGTTGAATTCTTTTGTAACGTTTTCAATATGTGGCTACCTTTGACTATGTTGGATGTTTTCATACTTCTAGTTCCCTGAAAGAATTAGTTCTCCTTCGTACAGAAAATTCCTTCAGTATTTCAGGGAAGTGCATTTGTTCAGGGGCTTTTGCATTTTGAAATAGCCATAGGATTTGTTTTGCCTTTTTTTTTTAATTTATTTTTAATTAATTTTGGCTTACACTAGGAGGGTTCTCCACTTTGTTGTTAGTTAATATTGGTTTTTTATTACTTACTATGGTGGAGGCAGAATTCTGTTGCATATTGACAGGAACCTCAAAGCTTGGCAAGATCCATGTTTCAAAAACAGTAGTCGCATTTATATTGCTGTAATATATACCCCAACATTTTAAGGATATAAAAATGTTGTTAATACCTTCAGGATCAAGGTATTTGCAGCCAGTGCTTTCAAAAGTAGTTGGGGATTGGGGTATGCAGTGAGACTCTATGGAAACAGCTTGACTTGCATTGTTTCTTAGTAGGCACCAGAACTTTCTCAGAGCTGGATTTATTCTGGGTGTCTCCTGACCTGGTGCTCTTTTGAAAGTCTTTGTCTTGGATGGGTGATTAGATTTAGGATGTTGCCTTAAGGTGAAACGTACAAACAGATTTAGAGGGGAGAAGTGGTTGTTACATAAATGTCCATTCTTAGGGAGATAAATAGAGCAGTAGCTTGCTGCCTCCCCAGCCATTACTTATCGGTTGGCAGTTGTTCTGGAGGCCACAGAAACACCACGCTTAGCTGATCTTGCACATTTCCTGCCATTTCCCCTCCAGGTATAAGGTAGTGTCAGTTGCTAAAAACATCAGCATCCTGAATAGTGGAGGACTTCCTAAAGGAGCTGCAGGTGTTGCTGTCGGTATTTATAAAATACGTAAAGACTAAGCATCTACAGCAGAGTCCTTAGCTGAAGAGTTTCTTGCAGAGTTTTGTCTGCTGAAGATCTGGAAAATTGCCCTTTTCCATTTGGTTTAAAACGAAAATGCTCAGAAATATGTGGGGAATTTTCAGATTAAAATTCCTCCTGTTCGCCAGCAATGTATGCTTGTTTGCTCTCTCAGTTCTTAGTTATGCTAAGCTGTTAATGGTTTGGTTTTTGTTTTTTTTTTTTTAAGGGAGCATTGTATGTTAATACATGTGTGAGTCTGTAATGTAAAACTATGTATATGATACAAGCAGGCTCATCACTGAGGCAGAGTAATAGAGTCAGTGCTGAACACTAGCTGGTCATAGCATGCAAATGATCCATTACTCCTTGTAAAACTTTTGGTATGATCTGATTATTAATATTCTGGATTGAATGCTAATTGCTAATACAATTTGCTGCGTACAGCACCTAGTCTTCTTTCTTTCTGTCCTTTACTCAGTACTGTGGGTAAAAACGTGAGCCTTTTCTGTATTTGACTTACATATTCTAGCTCCAGCACAGAGTATTTTTATCCATGCTGTCGAAGGATCATTTGAAATGCTTTTCCTGTTCTGTACTTTTCAGTAACATTGCAAAAAAAAATTGTAGGCTGTGTTTGAATATCGTTGGTGGACAGTGGATGCAGTTGGTGAGGGAATGGTTCTAACACGTGGGTTGTTTCAGGTGGAAAGGACACCATAACATTCAGCGACCCAGCCTTGCCTGTTGCACAGCGGTCCAGGTCACCGTTGTTGGCGTTTGCTGATAAGCCACAGAAAAGTGGAGTACAAGGTGAGCACCTGGAACAGAAAGAGCGTGATGAGAGCTGTGCACTCGTTGCTTTCCAAACAAAAAGTCATACGTTTTCATGCTGGGATAGCAGAAGGCAAAGTTTCAGTGGTCACACAGATTGAATAAACCATCCACAAATAAAATGGATAGGCGGTTCCAGTACAACTAGAAGAAAAAAAAAAATCAAACAACTGGAAAATGACTGGTGAATAGATTGCACAGGGCTAGGGATCAGGTCTTACAGCTCAAAGAATTTTTCTGTCAGATTACTTGATACTGTGAGAAGTTATTCATGCCATCTATGTTACAGTTAACTGCCTCCTGCTCTTTTTGCCTCTGTTAAAATGCACAGTAGGAAAGCAGTCTGTGGAACTGGCTTAGCACTCCCCTGCATCATTGCTGATATCTAGATGAAAGGCTTCCTGATTGCGCCTGGTACATTGAAATACCCAACTCGTTTTCCCAGAGAAATTGACTGCCTTTTTTATAGTCTTGCACGTGTTTTGTTGAAAATCCTTCTCCAGTAGCAAGCTCTAACATCTTTCCAAAGTTAGGCTTAGCTTTATTTGACAGTAGCAGAAGATAGCGTTTTGCTGATAACCTTTTCCTTCCTTTATTTTTTCATAATGGATGGGAGATGGATTATTATGTTTGCCTGTTGGCATTTGGATAAGCTCTTTAATGGGCATAATGTTTTGGTATGCCCAGATCTTACTCAGCTAACCATGGAGCATCATAAACATTTTATTTGTTAGTCCTGAAACTAAATAGATTGTGGCTTAATTTTGACTTCATTATCCATGACAGCATCTGATAAAACTTGACAGCCAGACTGATCATTTTTTATAATCTTGATCAGCTGATATTTTTTCTAAAAATAAGAAAACTACAGTCAGTAGTTCTCTGGCAAGTAATAACTCATAAATATTCATTTTTGTCTGCTTAATCATTGATTTTTAACTGAATCTGCAGTTACTGAAAGTATTTACTTGGTGGCATAATGCTCTTTCCTTCATGTATTTGTCCTAGGTGAGGTTGATATTACAGTTTCAAGTAAAGTTGCCTGTCAGATCTCATCAGACCCTGTTCCTGTTGCTTTGTAACACTGCCAAACTTCAGCTGTGGGCTGAAGCTTTCCATGCTGCGTTTTCTACTTCAGATGATCTTTTTTAGTGTCAGCCAAATAACTTTTTAGTGTTAAATTCTCATGAACACGTTTTTTGTTGTTTTGGGGGTTTTTTTGTTTGGTTGGTTTTTTTTAAAGGTTCTTTTTTTAAATCTCATTTGCTAAAAACAAGGAAAAACAAACCAATGATTCTATTGAGCTTGCTTTGTGCCACCAGTGCTGGTAAAACTCTGCATACACCATTCCTTCAAGATAATGTAAATGCAGAGGGAACAAAACCTGGAACAGAGAGGAAGGGAAGGCTGAGATCAGGACTCTTAAGTGATGGGAAGACTAGAGTAGATGGGGATTGACAGAATCGGATGTCTGTGCAAGGAGGGGACCTGCATCTGGCTGAGCAGAGGTCCTCTTGAGGGCGCAGGAGCGAAGGACCAAAATGCTGACACTGGAAGCAAGGTGTGATAAAAAGATTGAAAAGTGGATGAGAAGTGGGCAGAGTGTAGGGACTGGATAAACAAAGGGCTGTAGGGCAGGAGCAAAGAGCTAGGCAGGGTGTCAACGGGTTAGGGCTGGGCTGGCCTCTAGACGAGTGACAGATGCTGCCTTTTAACCCCAAAGGGGAAAAGAAAGGGAGTAAGAGAGACTTGTGGATTGGAAAAGAAAAACTGAAACAGCTTTGAATAATCAATAACAATTAATTTAAATATATGCAAATATATACAAAACCAATAGCAAACCCAACCTACCTGATGGCAATTGTGTCACCATCACCACTGATGCTGTGGGCAGGCACTGGGGAATTCCCAGAGTGGACTCAACATCCAGATCAGGAGCTGGATTCTGGAACTTGATTCAGGAAAGCACAGATTCGGATCAGAGGCAGAATGGACAGACTCCTCCTTGGACACCAGCTGCTGAAGAAGAGCTTAACCCTCATGATCCCTCAGCTTTATACTGAATATGAAGTATCTGGGATGTAATACCTTATGGGTCAGTTTAGCGTCACCTGTCCTGTCTGGTACTCCCCACAGGTGTGCCCTTTTCCTCTCTGCACCCCCAATGTTGTACACAGGATTTAGCAGTGAGCTTGGTCTCCATGGGAGCAAGTATAACCAAGAGCCTTTCTGCATACCAGTCCTCAGTAGTAACTACAAACATCAAATGTTGCCACTTCTAGAAGCAGACACTGTCTGCAGAAATCTGCAGTTAACTTCAGAAAGTGCAGTTAGCTAGAAGAGACTGAGCTGAAAAGTCAAATCAGTGAACAGAATGAGTTCTGTTCTGCCTCAAGCCAGGATACAGCAGAGAGGAAGAGTAGAAGAGAGCAGCCTTGGAGAGGAGAAGCCAGACAATCATGGGAAGAATCAGCTCTCTGTAGGCCATTACCCTCTTTCCTCCTTCCCATCCCATAACAGAGCCAAGATCAATCACAGAAATCCTGTCATTAAACTGGATTAGGTTAAGGAATGACTGTTCTGGCTGCACAAACAGCTTGTTTTTTTCCCTTTGCCTGTGGCCCAGTATCCCTGATAATCCACAGGGAGAATTTGGACAAAATTCACCTCTGTGATAGTTTACATACTGGGACAACTTTTCAGTGAGATAAATGAGCACAGATATTGCCAGCTGTGCAGGGGACAGCACAGCCTCTAGCAGTAGGTGGAGGAACTATAACTTCTGTTGCTCCACATCCATTTTCTGGAGAATATTTGGGGCTGCCATCTTCCAGTTGAAGCCTGGAAGGGAAGCAGCGTGTTTTCTGCTGCAGGGCCTGTCCCTGTGCTTTGAGTCATCAGGCTCCTCTGGAGTCAGCAGCTATATGGGAGGGACCCACTGAGCCTCTTTTTGTGCCTCCCTGCATAGAGAGTGACTGCCTGCTGTTGAGCTTTAGGAGCTTGGTGCATATTGCAATTTTTTGTCTGTACTGTGTACCTCCAAAATCTGAGGGAGCTGCTTGGCACCTGGGAACAACACAGGAATGTGATCATCTCTCTTTGTTTACCAAGCAAGTATGCCCTTGGTTTGAAAATATTCCAGAAATAAAAACAAAACCACTTTTACTTTCCTATTAGCTGAGTGATCAGTTGAGTGAAAACAGCTGATGAGCAGAACAGCTGTGAAATTCTTACATAGCTTTAAATACTGGGCCTGATGTCACATCAGTCAGCTGTGATCCTTTAAATAATGCCGTTGATATTTGGTGCCTGTTTGGCCCAGGAAATGTTTTTAGCTTTTTGCACTAAGGTATATTCTTTATCAGAACTTTCTATAATATGTCAAATGTTGCTCTGGCTGGATCTACAGATAATCAGAGGGCTGTCTCAAGCTTTTTAAAGTCTCATTTATCTGCTTATCATGGTCTCGTCAAGGCCTGTTTTAGTCTGTACTTGTTTTTGTTTCAGTTAAACTGGATGGTAGAAGTCTGTAGGATATGCTGTGCGGTTCCTGTGTGAAAATCCGTGATAACGTTGTACAATCATACAAATTAAAGACTGTCTTGTGCCACCAGATCTCACTTTATCCAGTGCAGGGGATGGATAGTGTCATGGGATAGATTGTACTTGGTCATCACAGCTGCTAATGAACAGTTATTCAGGTTTTTTTCCTCTTCATTGTTGAGTGCATTTTTCCTGCTGTGTTGCCTGTGTGCTGTTTCAAGTATTCCTTGAAGACAAAAGTACTAGTTTTCTATGAACTTTTCTCTGGTGACATGGTGCTTTGAAACAATTTATCTTCAGAAAATTGCAGCAAGGTGATGGGGTGGTGTTAACCCACTGTAGAGGGAGGAAACTGAGGCACACAAAGAACAAAGTAGAGCCCTTTCTAATTCTGAGTGCAAATCTGAGGTATGTAAGTTTGGGGTCTTTCTGGAGCACTCTTGAGTATGTGTGTTCAGATACACAACATGGGCAGAGCAGTACTGGGAATCGAGCTCCTCAGTTTCCAGTCGAGTGCTCAGATAATGAGGATTAGATCCAGTGGGTGATCACCTTTTGAAAGTTAATTTATTCCATCTCTTCAGAGTAGCATTCCTGGCCTCCTTAATGGTAGTAAGAATGTCTCTTCCCAGTGCTAACCCTTGTCTCACTCACATGGCAGCCCCCAAATTCTGAATGAGGCAGGTCTGGCAGAGACAGGAGGCTCCTGTGGCGTGTAGCTCTGTCCCTCCCCGCAGCCAGGCTGTCCCGGGCACTGCATGAGGCAGGGTTCCTGTGGGAGAAACAGAGTAGATGCTCATGTGCTAAAAGGTAATGCATCTGCATGACAAGAGTCATTTTAAGCTGTCAATGCAGCCGCACTTCTGGCATTTCCTAATTTTTGTTTCTTGACTTCACAAGCTTATTTTCAATGAGGCTTTTTGTCCTTAACTGAGATGAGGACAAATTCTCTCTTTCACAAAGCTGTTTGTTTACACATTGCCTTTTCTCTTTTCGATCTTTGTTCACTGTTTGCCTTTTGGTGTAATGGTATATTTGAAATTCTTCCACTGCTGCTTTGTTTTTGCTGTTACCCAAATTAGAATAATCTTTTATGTTAGGAGAAATGTTGCAGGACCAATAACCAAACTTCATTAGTGGTTGAAAGCCTGTGAAAACCTCCAAATAAATGAGCTTGTGTTAACCCCCCAACCTGGTAGTGATGTGGGGAGTTAAGCTGTAACAAAAATTTCTGTAGCTGGGTGCCTTGCTTAGAGCTGTTACTCCTTTGAAAAAGTCTACCTGACCCTGCTGTTCTACAGTACGGTACCATGACTCTTTTTTTAGAGTTGTCAGTGTTATGGAAAGGCAGGCTCCAAAGCAGGGCCAGATCCAGCAGGAAATGTAGTGTTGATTGCTTATCATCTAAGAAACAGGCCTGGGATGGGATAGGGAATCACTCTTAGAAATTCCTTGCTAAGGTAAACATCTCCGTGGCAGTGGTGGGGATGTTTTTCAGGTCAGATATACAATAAATACCCGTGAGTGATGAGAGCATCTCACTGTTCCATTTCTCTTTCAGCAGAACAGAAGGGCGAATACGACGAAACTTGTGCTGTTGCAACTGAGTCCCTGGCTCCAGAGGGAACAAACTTAAATAACAGAAACCAAAATAAACATTTCTATCCTTCATTACCTCAGCTACCTTCCAAAGGAGAAGAGAGGGACCAGCTCAGGAGTCAGATAGTTAAGCTGACAGCGCAGGCAGTTGCAGAACTGGGAGGGGAGAGCGCAGAGGCTCCCGCGGGGCAGCAGGACACACGGCCTGGGGCGGAGCTGAGTGGCTCATCGGAGGGAGAGGTCCCCCCCTCCAGCCCTGACCCATCCGACCCCACAGACCCCTCAAACTCGGAGAACGAACAGACAGATGAAACTGAGGCCCTGAAAGAGAATGATGAAACCTCAGAGAGCGACTGTGAGATTCCAAATGAAAGAGGGGATCAACCCAGCAGCATCGTGGATGTGCTGCACACTGAGGAGGCTGGAAGGTGTGGAGGGCTCAGAGTTACGACTGCACACACAGATACTAGCTCTGAGGAGCTCTCTGAACCTGAAAGCAAGAAACCATCTGATGCTGCTGAAAACTGTGAATATTTGGATAACAGTTTGGCTTGAGGTATGAAATCCAGGCCCTCGAGCATCTCACTGTAATCCTTTTGCAGTGTCTGTGCTGCTGCAAATATGATCAGTGAAATAGCACACGGATCGTATTTGATTTTTGCTTTGAACTGTTAATATTTGTCTATAAAGGTACTTTCCTGTTAGTTTTGGATACAGTGTACCAAAACTATAAATTACCTAGGGGAAAGAATTAGTGATGAAGTATTATTGTGTTGGGATTTTGTAGTGATTGGAATTTTTTACACAAATTGATGTAATATACATTAGTATAGCAAAGAGACCAATGCTAATTATTTATCGTGTTATCACTAAGCTTCTGTAACATATATGGTCCTAGTGCTGGACTGTATTTTAATGGTGAGAAGCATCCTCTAAGGATGAAAAACTTGGAGTGATAAACTGAGAAGCACCTTAAAGCTACAAGCTTTCGCTTGTTTCTCAGGCTGCATTCTATTTCTCTTTTCATATAGTGGCTGTAAGTACATCCTTAGGGTACAATCACTGTTCCTTATAGGAAGCCTATGGAAGCTTTCCCTGTGTGCACATCATTCTCTCATTACAAACCTTTATACTGTCTCAACTGTACAAAATTTGTCCTTCCCTCTCCCAGCTCATCTCATGAAAATGCAGGGAATTGTTTCACCAGATACCAAGAACCCAATTTAACGAAGCTCTGAGGGATACATGGCCAGAGAAACAAGGAGTCTTTCCATGAGAAACACAACGCTGTTCCAAAGCAAGGAGAACAGCAAGAGGAGAACCTGTCCACCTACTTGGCACTCTCCGTTACTGGAATTGCATTCCTCAACTTAACAGGAGCTGGAACAGCCCTCAGGCTGAGTAACGGGTGGTAGATTTCAGCCTACTCCATCTGTGCCCTCCTTTTTAAAGGAATCTGTGTCTCTTTTAATTTCTTAGTTTTGGAGTTAAGGATTATTCTTCCTTTCCTCCTCATTTCACCAGTCGGTGCTGTGGTAGAAGGTTTATTTGCATCGTTGCCGCTTTCTTAAACTTCTTCCCTTGTTGATGTAGTCATAGGGAAACATTCCTTTAATAACTGGAGGAAAGGGAGGCTGCTGTGTCAATCCCTAGCTCCCTCCTGATGCTGGAGCTGTGCCACTCTGCTCCTAGGAAGGCAGCAACAAGGGAACACTCAACGTTGAAGTCAGCAGCTGTTGGAGAAGGGGAGGCACGTCCTTCCTCTCCTGTTTGTAGCATAAGGAATAGTCTCTGCAGCTGTGGAGCTTCTATGGGCCAGCAGCCGTCAAGGCAATTTTTCTGCTGGTGTGGGACCTAATTGTCTGTAAATGTTCATTTCTCACTCCTAGAACTTGAAACCAATCAGAGAGAATTAAACCAAATTTAATAAAATACTACTAATAAAAAGGAAAATCCCTCCCAGATTGAGTCCTTCTTTGACAAATAACTGCCAGCTGCAAATTTTTACAGCCCACTTGTCAGCTACTGAATAAACAGAGTTTATATAAGCAATACTGACAAACTCCTCTGTATGTGGAAGATGAGCTAGCAGGTGCTGCCATAATCAAGGTGTCAGAGTCCATGAACAGTTTGTATTCAGCAGG